GCAATCCTACTTCCGTAGTGATACTGCCTCGGAAACCCAAGAAGGGGTCGCTATGAATCGGGGCCGACTCGATGGCACATAACAACAACAACAACAAAGTGACATGGGTCAATGCATTCTTGTTTTTAATTTTTTTTAAACCACATATTTCATGCTAAATATTCCAAAGTGCATATAAAGAATAGAAATGGATTGAACAGGAAAATGCACAGACAAATCTATGCTGTTACTGTTAGGTGCTATCGAGTTCAGCTCACAGCAACTCCAGGGCATCAAGCAGAACTGCCCCCAGGGCTTTCTGGGCTGTCATCTTTATAGGAGCAAATCGCCAGGTCTTTCTCTCTCCAAACTTTCAGTTAGCAGCCAAGTGTGTAACTGCAGTGCCAACAGGCCTCCTTAGGGTGTCTTTGTTTTTAAGTTGCCTACTTGGTAGTTCACCTCTTAGCTATTTAGCACTCCATTTTCTGGTTAAAGTGAGGAAAAAAAAAATTTTTTTTTTTGTCTTTCTTTGAGGGATGAGATTTTGAATGTTTAGAAGCTGATCAAAATTGATTTTAATAACCAATAAGTAGACCAAATAAACCAGGCTTTCCTTAACTACTCATCTCATCTAACAGGGGTCACACTTGGTTTATATGTGTGAGCACACATCAGCTGCTGCCTCCACATTCTATCTCCTAGCTTTTATAAATCCTTGACTTTCAGTTCAGTATTGAGTTTCAATAAAGTACTATGAAAATTCTAAGCCAGACGACCTCAAATGATCACTCAGGGGGTCTCTGAGGCTCTTTCTGGGTGTCTGTGGGGTCAAACTATTTTCATAATAATCCAACACCAAACCACACTTACTGCCATTGAGTCTATTTCAACTCAAAGCAACCCCCTTGGGTTTCCAAGGCTGTAAATCTTTACAGAAGCAGACTGCCTCATCTTTCTTTTGTGGAGTGGCTGGTGGGTTTGAATCAGTAACCTTTTGGTTAGCAGCCAAATGCCTTAACCACTACACCACCAGGGCTCCTTATTTTCATAATAATAGTAATCATTTGCCTTGCCCCCCTCCTCATTCCTTCATGAAGATACAGTGGTATTTTCCAGACATCTCATGACCAGCGATATCGCCCCAGACTGAATTTTGAAGCAGATGTGGAATTCCAGATGTTTTCCATGAAGCCAGACCTTGTTAGTTGATGTTGAGTTGATCCTGACTCCTGAGGTTGCAGAGTAGAACTGCTCTGTAGGTTTTTAAGGCGGAGATCTTTCAGAAGCAGACCACCAGGACTTTCTTCCAAGGCACCTCTGGGTGAGGTCGAGCACCAACCTTTCTGTTAGTTGTTCAGTGCTTAATGATTTGTGCCACCCAGGGAACCAGTAAGCCAGACATCAGGAATTTTCAAAAAACATAAAATAATCCCACAACTTTCACAGAATTATTTGTTTTAGAAAATGGAATTCTTCTTCATAATCACTTTTCATGGTAAGTTTAAAAAATTAATGTTAAAATCGACTTACATTAATTTGCAATGTTTTTTACTGTTTACTTTGTAGAATGAATAAACTTAAGTTTTTCTCAGTTTTGATTTCTACCATGTTAAATCCAGGCAGAAAACTTGCAAAAACAAAAGCTCTTTGGAGACTTTAATAACGTCTATGAGTGTAAAGAGGTCCTGAGACCAAAAGGTTTGAGAATAGCTTTCCTACCTTGTAGTTCTTATGCCAAGGCCAATTCTCTAAACTGAAAAAATGAAGAGCTAAGATCAAAAGAACGGTGAGAGCACAGAGGGAAGGAGAGAATCAGGTGAGAGCACGGGGAGGGGGAGACGCCAAAAGGCTGCCAGTTCCAATCCACCAGTCACTCTGCAGGGGGAGAATCTGGCAATCTGCTGTCATAAAGATTACAGTTTTGGAGACCCTGTGGGGCAGTTCTACACTGCCCTACAGGCTCTGAGTCAGAACTGACTTGATGGCACATAACAACAACTTGCTCCTTATCAGCTTCATACAAGATGAAGGGCAGAGAGGGCCTATAGACAAACCCCTGCCAAGACCACATGGCACCCAAAGAGAGCATTTACTTTTATCTGAAATGGTGAATTTCTTCCGTAAAATAATGATCTGAGCCTGTCACTCGGCAGATAATGACTTGGCTCGTGGAGAAATTGAATGCTCCAGGGACTTCTTCTGACCAGGTAATTCTGAAGAAAGGTTTTTCCCTTTGTCTGACAGAACTCCTGGATTTGTGTTGTCTAATCTATGTGTGCCAAAGGGGCCCTGGCTGCATAATGGTGAAAATGCTTGGCTGCTAACCAGAAGGTTGTGGGTTCGAACCCACCAGCAGCTCTATGGAAGAAAGACCTCCCACTAGGAGGTAGATTGTGGCCCCATGATGATCTTTGCCTTCAGTCTGGTCCCCATTCAATCCAGTCCTTCCCATACTGCAGCCAGAGTTATCAGTTTAAAACATGACTATGTTCTTGCTAGTTTCCTGTTAAAATCCTTCTATGCTAAAAAATAAAGTTTACTAAGACAGGAAATTCCCATGAGTCCCCAGTGCTCTGTGTCCCTCTGCGATTTAGCCCCTCTTGACTCCCCATGGCTCCCCTAGTCCCTCCTGTGCTTCACCCTGTCCACTCTGTTGTTGTTGGGTGACGTCAAGTTCTAACTCATGGCAACCCTTTAGGACAGAGTAGAAATGCCCCAGAGGGTTTCCGAGGCTGTAAATCTTTACAGAAGGAGACTGCCTCATCTTTCTCCTGAAGAAAGGCTGGTGGGTTTGAACTACAGACCTTTTGGTCATCAGCCAAGCGTTTAAGCACTGCACCACCAGGGCTCTTTAAGTGACAAATATAGGACATATATATAATTAACTGTACCCCATTATGCTATCCCTTCTATAAAAATGCACACAGCATAGAAAAAAAATGGCAGGAAATCCATTAAAGAAAATATCAGTCTTGGAGATCTCTGAGTGTGGAATTTCGGTAATTTTCACTGTTTTCTTTGGATGTTTCTGTTCTTGCCAACATTTTCACATTAAAAAGGTTTGCTTTTATTAATGGAAAACTCCAATAAATGACATAAGAAATATTTGTCTGATATAAATAACTCACTCACTGCCATTGAGTCAATTTGACTCATAGTGAACCCTCCTTGGGTTTCTGAGGCAGTACCTCTATGGAAGTAGACTGCCCAATCTTCCTTCCGAGGAGTGGTTAGCAGTCAGATGCCTTAGGCACTAATATAAAACATTCTTCTTTTTCAGAGGTTTTTTTTTTTTTTTGTATATGTGGCTAACCTGTCATGTTTTGGGTTATGAAATTGGACTGAAAAGACAGTTTAATAATATAATAATGTGATAATAGGGTTATTTTCTCCTTTTTCACATAAATAAAAAACTTTGAACATAATACAATTTTTAAATAATACAAAGCTGTTGTAAAAAATTTAATAAATATTGACACAAAAGAGAATAAAATCCACATAATTCCATAACAGTTTCATGTATCTCATGAGGATTTTGCAGTAAATAGTATATAACATATATATATATATGGAGATCTGGTAGTGCAATGTTTAAAGAACTTGGCTGCTAACTGAAAGGTCAGCTGTTCAAACCCACCAGCCGCTCCACATATAACATCATATGTAATTAGATAAATAAATAAATTGCTCCATAAGAATTAAATACATTTCTAATACATCACTTTTACTGGTTGCATACTTAATCCATTATATGACTGTATCATAATATACTTAACCATTATACTAAATGTTTAGACATTTAGGCAGTTTCTAATTGTTTTTTTTCCATCAAAAAACAGGAATCTAATGATTCTAGCATTGATAAGTGTTTGACCAGAATATCTTAATCAGCATCATTCATTAAGTACCACAAAAGGGAAATAAATGATTCCAACTCTTGCCATAAAAATCTTGCAGAGATACATGTAGTAAAGTCAGCAAGTAAGGGGCAACAATAAAACATCTTCATAAAAAAAATCTTACCTTGAATTTTCTTGAAAACTCTGGAATTCATAAACTTTAGAAATCTGTCTGCATAAAAACTTGGTCTGTGAACCGAGACAGTGTCCTAAAAAGACAAATCAAGTTTCCTAGATTTACTTCTTGGCAAGTTCACAGCAACTCAGAGGAATTTGCTCTCTGGCTGTCTAATGGCCTTAACCAAAGGCTATGGGTGTGCTGAGCCCAAAGAGAACAAGCCCTGGTCCCTGTGGGGTGTCAGGAGTGGGGATAGGGACAAAGGGCATGGACTTGGTCTCCACAAAGAACCCAGACCCTGAGGTTGGAATGGAACCTTGAGGGGAGGCAGGGGATAGACAGCAGAAGGCTCTTCCACAGATATCAACATGGGAACCATATTTAATACCAAGTGGTACAGTTCTATGGAGCTCTGGAGGCACAGTGCCTAAGGCATTTGATTGCTAACCAGAAGGCTGGAAGTATAAACCCATCAGCTGCTCTGTGGAAGGAAGATGGGGTAATCCATAAAGATTTAGTACCTTAGAAACCCAATGGGGGTTACTATGAGTCAGAATTGACTCGATGACAATGGGTTTGGTATTTTGGTTTGGGGACAGTTCTGGAAATACTGAATATGCTTACACGATGCTCCATTTTGAGTCCAGGTTTATGGATTCCAATTGAGAAGCTGGTCAAAATTTAAGTTTAGGTACTATTAAGTGTCTACAATGAATGCGGAAGAAGAAAACACACATTGACTTGTTCTGGAGTTAGTTCTAACTCTGAAAGGCTATGTGGTGCTACAACAAGACAGGGTCCCAGTTTTTCATCTGTGAGTTGAGCATAGTTAGAATAACCTGTAATTCTGAAACCAGCAAATTGTGAAGGATACAGTATGCAGGAATACTCTTTGGCCAAGTTGTAATGATTTTCCAAACTTCCAGAAAAATGAACAAATCAGTCTTAGAAGAAACTTAACAAGAATGCTGCTTAGAAGTGAGGATGGTGACACTCTGGCTTGCTTAGTTTGGACATGTCATCAGGAAAGACCAATTGCTAGAACAGGACATCATGTTTAATGAAGTGCACGGTCAGAGAAAATGAGGAAACCTTTCATGAGATGGAGGGACACTGTGGCTGCAACAATGGGCTCAAATATACCAAAGTTCCTGCAGGTGGTGCAGAACGGGCAACGTTTGGTTCTATGGTACATAAGGCTGCTATGTGTCAGAGCCAACTCAATGGCAGCTAACAACACCAAGACTACCGGTGAGGCTCTAGGGGTGGGAGGAAATGTACCACTGGTCTAAAAAGTATGCTGCCCAGGATTCTGGCAGCTTTATTTTCACATCTACTCCAGTAACTCAGAGATAATGTTTGGATGTGAGGGACTGAGTGCTAGTCACTGATGATATGACTCGGTCCTGGCTTTAAAAGTGTTGTTCTTTTTGATATGAAAAGACTTTGTTTAAAACAGGGGCAATTCATAAACAAATAAAAATCAGTCCGAATCATTGCTCACAACTTCACAAATACATAATCACTGCAGAGATTTTCCTGAACAAAACATCAAAACCCAGAATATATGTTTTACATAGACAAAGCAGGGGAGATCCTCAGCAGCCTCTGATTAATGCAGGACAAGGTCACTCAGAACAGAAATCCCACCCAGTAACAGGAAATGAAGAGTCCCTGGGTGGCACAAATGATTAATGTGCTCAGCCGCTAACCAAAAAGTGGGCAGTTTGAGTCCACCTAAAGGCACCTCAGAAGAAAGACCTGGCAATAGACTTCTGAAAAAATCAGCCACTGAAAACCCTGTGGAGCTCAGCTCTACTCTAACACACACAGGGTCTCCATGAGTCAGAATCAACTTGCTGGTAGGTGGTTAACAGAGTTTTCACAAGGGTATCTATGCACCCCATAGGTACTGGGTGTGTAGGCCCCACTTTTTTCAGCTGGAAGGCAACAATGTGAGCCTTCTGTTTGGACCTTTTCATATGAGGACACTTTGCTGGCTCTGAGTGAGCCTAAGGTGTATTCTTAGAAACACATTTGTGAACTTGTTGTTTAAGAGTGCACTCTGGCAATGGTCCTATAAGTTTATGTGAATGATCAGAATTCCCAGGTGTATAGTAGAGCTGACAAGGGGCAAGGTTGTGGTCACTGCTTGGTCACAG